TTTTTGGGAAAGATAGTTTAGGTTCCTACTTAGGAAATTGTACAAACTTTTTGACAAATTTTGCATTGAAGTGCTCCCTATTGTTCCCTCTCAACTTCATGGTACTTTCATTTTTCATTGTTTCCCACTACCCCCAAGTACTTTGACCAATATTCTAAAATGAATAATAATAGAGATCTTCACAATTTTTGTTCAATCTTTAATACTTCATGATGTGGCTAGTTGAATCAAGTATTAGAAGGTCCACTTTGTTTTTTGATAGGATAAATTTGTTGGTTAAGATTTTGGTGAATAATTGAATGTGGCAAAAAAAAAAAAAAAAATTGATTATGACTCACAAAGATTAAAAGGGACCAAGTTGGATGGGCAAGGTGTGAGCAATCGCACAAAACTTGGCGTGATCGAGGAGTAGAGTGTGACATTTTGAGGCACTTTGGGGTGGTTGCGTTTTTTTGCAATTGAGATATGGTGACTTGACGAGTATGTCTGTTTGAGCTTAAATCGTTAATACAAGTATAATTCTAAACGTCTAGACAGAGCATGATTGATCAAGGCAAGTAGTTAAAACACGGGTGATGAGAATAAATTATATTATTCATTCACATTATAAGATGCCAGCATAATGCATAAACATGCTTATGTACATACAATGATACAAATATAGTAGGCCGCATGTGTCATCTAACTATATAAAATACCACAATTGTAACAAGTTGTGACTTTGTGAGAAGTTTCCCAGAATTACTATTATTATTTTAAAATACTAATGATTCTTTACAATGTAGTATCTATTCTATACTTTCTTAAACATTTTCAGCAATCTATGACCACCTCATTGGAAGGGTAACTGAAATGTTATGACACTACATAGTAGTTGACAGTTTCTAAGAATTATAAAATGACTAATTGCTCATAAACTTCAAAATAATTTATAGACTAATAAATTAAAAACAATGAGGTGTTTGGTAAATGACTATTAACTGTTTGGGTTAGTGGGTTTGACTAGTTGATAGCTTAGCTGATTGTAGAAAAGTGTTTGATAAATTAGATGTTTGTTGTTAGTTGATTACATACAAAATGACTTTATTTTTCAAAAAGTTAATCAAAAAACTATATTAAACAACTTTTTTGAATTTTAGCCTTTTGAAGCAATAAGTTGTTACAAAAAATTAATTAATCAAATACTCATATTAATTGTTTAACCAAGTTAAATAAATCAAAATTAACTGATACCCAACAGACCATTGATGTCATTTCAAGAAATCTATTTGGTGCTATTTTCTCAAATGCAAACAAAAAATAATAATAAAATAGTCATGATAATGAGTATAGTGCAGAGGAAGAGGGGTTTATAGTTCGAAAATGTTGATGATGCTGCTGGGTGTTCAGAATATTCGACTGCATTATTATTATTTCAACCACTGTACAAATTACTTCATCCTCTGCCACTTCAAATTTCAAATACTAGACTCCTCAGCTCCCCTCTGTCACTTTATGTATATATATAAAATCCTGATCCCACATTGTTCTTTTCCTTTTTGTTTTCCTAATCTTTTACGGTTAAAAAAAAACAAGATCAAGAAATCAATATCCAAAAAAAAAAAAAAAAAAACACAAAATTTAAGTGTTTCGGCAATGTACGTATATATAAGAGCGAAACAATTTTTTTTATTAATTACGATGATGATACATTATGAAGCTGACAAACAATATGGGGCATATAGAGTTAGGGGTTTATGTTTGATAATCAATTTTATAAAAAAGATATTTGTAATTAATCACAAATTTAAATAATGACATTTTAAAACTTCATAATTGATAACGTATCATTTTACACGCTATGTTTAAATGCTTACTAAATTCTCAACCACCAAAATTAACATAATTGATAACAAAAATGAAATAATAATAGAAAAAAAAAATTAACTTTACCATAACTTTCTCACCCCTAATCGGGAAATACTCAATTTTTTTTTATCTCAAAATTTACTTGTAACAATGATTAGTCTTTGATTTGACCGATTGATGTGTATCTCTTGAAAATTGTAGCTTTGCAACATCAAAGTTCACATTTTTGGAAAAGGACATCATTATGAGGGTTTATTTGTAAATTGCACCCTATTTGACTGCATCATCACACCCCTAAGCATGCGTCATCATGGACGTTTCGTGCGGACTTTTATGTGGGAGACTGATATAGCGTGCCATCTTCGCTCTGCCTTCAACAATACTGTATTCTCCAAAATGCCCCCATCCATTTTCTTCCATAATACGGAGTAATAATAATTATATTTTTAAAAAAAAAACAACTATGAAATAAGTGCTCAAATACAACTAATATACTTGTATTTTTTTTTAATTTAAAAATAAATGTAAGGGTGCAGTGGATGGGCTAGTGAGACGTCATGGGTTATTCTTTTGTAATTATTAGCAATTAAAAATGTAATTTTGTCACATTTACTTAGTTTATTTCTTCTCATGGGGCAAAACCTACGTTGGACCGTTGAAAGATGAACTAAAGTTACTTGAAACCAAAGATTAAACAAACATTAACCCTTATTAGTTGGCATGTCTCTCTTGATTCAAACACTAAACACTATTAATATTTTAATTGAAAATTTCTTAATGGGCATGCATACTGCACTAGCTGCTTCAAAAGTAAAAAAATATTTTGAACTTTTTATTTATTTTATATAGAACATACAATACTTTGTTACAAACTTCATCGTCATATTTCTTGCATTTTGTTATATTTGTATAAATAATGGGAGTATACATAGTACGTTTATGATCATATCTAACTGGGTGGCATGTATCTTGTCTTTAGGTTCGGAAAGTAGACCCCACCCGAGTGAAACAAACAACATGTAACCTATCATCTTAATAATTATATTTATTCATGTATCTTCAGTGCTAACACGTGGCGTAACTTACCTGACTAGCCTCTAGGTAGGTGCCACGTACCCCAGTCATGTAAGCTTTGCGCAAATATCTTCTAACCTATCATTATAAAAGTAAACTTTTCTTATATAAAAAGAGATTTTGAGTCATAAAGATTTTTCGTAGTGCTATTCGACCTATCCAGAAATCCTCGACCTTTTTAAATGAAAATCTCATCTAAACTATTATCCCAAAAACATTTAAGCCATAATTCTTTAACATGATGCACCTATATAAAATTCAATATTTTTGCTATTTTTATTTGCAATTAATAACAAATCTTTACGTGAGTGACACAAAATGTGATTTTTTATCAATAACAATCATACTCCCTGGTCCCATAAATTATTTAAGGATTAGGTTTATATCATGGGCTATAATTTATATAAACTTAAAATATTATTTTTTTCAATTTTAAAAACATTTTTACTGTTTTGTCATAAAGTCTCTTCTTACGAGAGAATATGAAATCTTGTAATGTGATTGGTGGATTGCGCTTTGCTATCGTCACACTCTGCATTACACATTTAAAAATAAAAATAAAAATATATAAATCTTATCTAAAAGATCTGCCGAAGTTTGTTAAGCATTAATTAGCACAAAACACAAAGTAGGATTAAGGAAATCGAGGAGATTAATGTTTATTTTATTTTCCAATGTAATTTGAAAGTTTGAATTTTGAAAAGCGTGCATGTGATTGTAAGGGGCGGTGGAGGACTGGAGGGTAAAAATTTGAACGTAACGGCTGGTTTTTAGTCAAATCTAGCATTAATCAATGAATGTTGGTGAGGTTTGGAATGAATCTCAAGCCTAAAAGCCCAACATTGACCTTCTTGGAATGTGGCTTTGCGTCTTGAGAAGATGGATATTATTGGAAAGGTGGTAATAAAGGTTCAAGAGGCTTTGGGGTTTGGTCATTTAAGGAGTATGAGTAAGTGTTGCCAACCATGGTTAAGATTATTATTATTATTATTTTTTAAATTTTGTCCTATTCACATGAGCAGTTCAGTTGGTCACATGGGTGAAGTTTGAAAACAATGATTCTGGATCGACTTGACTCGTAACAGCGAAAGCTTTAGGACTTTCATCTTCATAAAAGCGAGATTTATCCAATTTACACACATCCTCCATTGTAATAGAAGTATACTACAATTAATGGTTTAAACTTTGAATCATCCCAAGTACCACGTTTGATAATTTATACAATTATTATTACTACTACGTATGAAAAGTTTGACCAACTGGGAAAACATGGAACTTTAATAAATATCTTTCCAGGGTGACTAAAGGTGTCCAATAAATAGGTTTGAACTTCTGAAATGAATTGGACTTATTACTTAAATTAGATAGTTCAATAAAATTTGAATGATGACCATTATATTTGAGATAGCAAGTAAATTTAATTCAAAATGTATTGTTGATTTTGAACTTTTTGTGTTATTTGATTTACATGCACCTAAAAGTGCGACTAATATAAACCGTAAATCAGTCTAGGTTGTTATAACTGATTGATATATTACGTTCAGTTTTTATCGCTGACGATGAATCTGGTGCAAATCACTACTGAATGTCGAGCTTTTTGTTGTTAGTATATCTCTAGTTAATGCACTGAAAGCGACTGATGAATGTACTCTTTGTATCTATTAGATTCATAATCTCAGTATCCCAAGTTTTTACTTCAACTCAAATAAAGTAGCAACCATCCCAGATGAAGCACCTGGTTTCTCTAAGATGCATTTTGTGGTATGGGCCGATGAACCCATTCCTTTGATTTACAGTAAAATCCATAATTGCTACTCAAATCTATACTTTTAAAAAACTTAAATTGTGATCCTAATTCAAAAAAGAACTGCACTATAAAAAGGTAAATCAGTTTAAACTGTCTAGTGAAAACAATCTTTACGAGGAAAAGATTGTAATTACCAAACTAATTGTCTGAGTAACTTAGTTGGTTGCCTCAGCACCGGGAAACTCAGCTCATTCCTTTGTATTTCTTGTATCGCATTAAATGAAAGCTCACATTACATAAAAATGTAGAGAAACGCAATAAAAGAAAAGGCTACAAAACAATTCTCACTAATTTTACATTTCCGAGAACCAAAAGATGATAAAATTTTGAAATGAACCAAAAGCGTTTAATTGGGCCTCAGTCGGGCTCCCAAACATACAAGGCAGGAAAAAATGGTAGAAGGTGTTGGGCTCCATAGCGGGCCCAAATAGCTCCATAAGAAATCGAAAGACAAACATAAACACAAACTATCGAACTCCCTCTATCTGGGTAGTTATTTTTCTGAAATAGTCACCCAGGACAGGATTCAATGAACACAAAAATAAAACTATGATGTTTGTTTGACTACATGCCTTGATCAATAAGGTGGTCACCAATCTTCTCCACCACTATGTTGCACTGACTTGGAGTCACTGGCTCATCATACACACCAACTATCAATGCCTGCCCAGTTTTCTTGATGGTAAGCCCACCAGGCCCCTATAGAACGAGATCAGATATGATCAATTAAAACTAAAATGTTATAATCATACTGAAACTAGGTGTTTAAGTTTTGCATATTATGTGCTCGACGAATTGCCAAGCAAAGACATATATATATAGGTATAGAAAGAGTACGTACTTTTTTGCCACGGATCACAGCGCCTGGTTCTCCTTGGATCACCATGTATTTTTGGCCGGCAAGGTGGAGTCCGGTAGGGGCGAGATGTCCAGGCTCATCAAAGTCTTTCATTATATCAGTGACCTCCTCCGTCTTCACCTGGAATTGAATTGAAGAACAAGTTTAAGTTTCAATTCATCGGAAAATCAGTTACGTCGATTAAATGCAACGTAACAAATTAGAGATAAATTGAATATCCGATCCGATCCGATCGGTTATAATGGAAGGAGAAAGGAATAGAAGAGAAGAGATTGGAAATGGTGGAGAGAGAACAAACAGTGGGAAAGGTAGGGCTCTGAGCCCAAATGGTGCCGTCATGGCCGATGATGGCGGCGGCGGTGAGGTGGTTTCCCTCAATGTTGGCCATCAATTGTTCGTCCACGTACGCCTGCACTGACATTTTGCTCATTTGATCGATCGATCTCTCCGGTGATGGTTGCAGCTGCGCTGTTAGATATCTCTCCGGTTTGGTTACTTTTCAAATGCAAGAAAGATGAGATCCGGTATATATAGGTTCCACAATCACTTTGTCTGGAAAATGTCTTCGCCCATGGCCTATGGATTCAAAACCATCGAATCCCTGCCATTCAATCACCTCATAATGTGGCGCCAAATGCTACCATGCACCAATTCAATCAATCTTATGCCTCAATTCACACCAATATTTTGCTTTTTATATATTCAAATTTTAAAATTGATCCCATCATATATCATAGGATTATATTTAGCAATTGAAAATAAAATTTACATTTTTACATAATATTTTTTTTTATTATTCTCATAAATTTTAATAATAGTGATTTTTTAAAAAAAATATGTACTTAATTTGTTGCAAAACTAGATGAATCATCGCTGTGATTAGTATATCATTTACATCTCAGAAATAAATGTACAAAGTTTAGTATAATTACAATACTACAAATGATGAAGATGTATTATGATAGTATAATACATATAGTAATGTCCACCTATATTTATTCACAAGACGTTATTATTCGTCTTATTAAAAGTTAAAAAAAAAAAATACACACTTGACACATATTATATAGACTTTTTTTTGAATGCTACTAGCTCTATTACATATTATATAGACTTATTGTTTAAATCTTTGCCTTTTTTAATTATTCTTGCACATGAATGAAGAGATGGTTGAGAAAGAGAAAGATGAAGCGGTGGAGATGTCCACTATAAACAAAGACCTTGTGAAATTACAGTATTGTTCTCGATTTAAATGGAGATTAGAATTAATACTTTATCTAAGGAAGGATGAAATTGACAAAAAAAAAAAAATTATAATTGAGTATTAAATTAGAAATGAATTGAATGATATTCGAGAAGGAAATTAATAATTTCAGTTGAATAGACAATTTTGGATGGTCACTAACTCTAAATTCATTTTCTAAAAAAGGTTAACCCTCATAGCCTCATATGATTCAACTAACGTAGTACATGGGATCCGGCATCTTGAAAGTACGCAATCCAACGTTTTCCCCAAGCAAATCACTCCATTGATCTCCAACGTTTCCGACGATTCTGTACCCTCGCGCCACCAACTCCGTCCTCTTCTCCGACTTGTAATCCATCATCGGCCGCTCCGTGTCGTTTGCTCCCCTACAAAAAATCATTACAACCTAAGCTTCACACGGTTCATAAATCTCTACCTTATTACTATCAATTATAAGTAACCTAGGTATGTACCTTAGGATGAGCATCTCCCAGGCTCTAAAACCAGCTTTACGCAGATTGGAAATCCTGGCTGATCGGAATTGTTCTTTGGTTTCTGAAATGAACACAGGCTTCATCCCCAGAGCGAGTACACTGTTATACAGCCGGAGAGTTTCCTGCATCGCCGGCGCTTTTCCGTCTCTGATCCACTCTTCAAATTTCGTCGCGTTGCATCGTCGTATTCTGACAAGTCACAACAATATATAATTGGTTAATTAATTAAGGATGGAATTGAAGATTAATTGTTCAATTCTGTTAATTAATTTAAGTTGTTTCTATGATTGTATGTATATATTACGTAGTACCCGAATCCAACTTCTACTCGGGCGTAGTAAGGGAGATTGGAGAGAGCGGTCTCGTCGATATCAAACACCCAAACGTCCTTGCCGTCGTGCACAAGTTCCACGGCGGTCGCGTACCGTATGGCGGAGGCGGCCACGGCGGTGCAGTCGTCGCGGTACTGCCGCCCCAGCATATAGTGGCCGATGTAGCCTTCGCATAAGCGGGGCACCCTGGCCCAGTCGCGTATGTTGTTGGCCTCCACTCCCAGCCGCCAGCTCAGGCAGTTCAGGTAGGGGATGTGGCGGCTGCCCCCCCTGGTGCGGTGCCCGCCGGCGGCCCTGGTGCGGTGGCGGAGGAGGTGGTCGTTGTAAGCTAAGGGATAATATGCATCGGCGGCGATCGCGACTGAAACCTGCAGTAATAAGAGAAGCGCGAGCGTGGTCGGCATGTCGTCGTACGTTGTTGAATGGGGGGATCGGAGCGAGGCGTTTCATATTTCTTAGGTTGCTTAATGCTTATATAAAGATTCGACAAACTAACCTTCTTTTTGCACAACTCTTGAGTGATAATATAGAAATGTGCAGCCGTTCTTCAATGGCTTCTGACCCTAACTTGTATATAGTTGTGTCGTCATGTGTGTAAGTTAGTTAATCTTGATCACATTTAATTCCATGTATTTCTTTTGTTTAATTTCACTAATGAATTATGCATGTTACCTATATTTGTATCTATATTTGACCTATATTGGAGTGTCAATGATGTATATATTAATCTCATATGATATTAAGTAAGTCTTATCTAAGTTAGAACAACTTAAACTGATGAGTTACTTAAATAATTAACTTACTAACCTTAAATTTCAAGTTTAACTTCTTGTGAGAACAGATGACCTTCATTCTCGGTGGACGACAACCCTCCTCCCAAGTATCAATTGCAAATTTTATCATAAATCAGAGCCGAACCCAATTCAAATATGAAAAAATTATGAGTTGGGTCAAATTTTGAATCTCAACTCTAATCTATCATATCATATAAGTAGACAAATGACATATGAATTTCTTCCTTAAGAAATTCACCATATTAAATCAATCAATTCACCCAAGTTACTCTACCCAAATCTCTAACAATTTTAGTGTTTTAAGAAGAAATAATAGTGTTTTACGGAACACTTACTTTAAGTGAACTAATTAACTAAATACTAACTTTAAAACTTGTTTACCAAACCAAATTTCTTAACTTTTCAACAAATTAAATCAAATTGCACACCTAAGATTCTTATGAAATAACGCACTCAATATACTAAAATAAATTTTTGGTTCAAGAATTATGTTCACTGAATCAGTTACCTCTTTCGAAATTGTTTAAATAATTAATTGTTTATGATTTAGGATGCCAGAGTTTTAAGATTATGATGATTAATTATATTGATCGTGGTGTATATAAATGTGTCGTTGATACGCAACAAAGGAAAGAAATAATTGGTGGTTTAATTAGGGGATGGTCTACAAGGAATGAATATATGTAATTAGAGGATAATTGACTAAATATTAGTATAAGGAAATTATGTATATTAGAATATATTATTACCTTGTATAGTTAGAATAATTGTAGTAACTTAATTATTATGTGTTATTAATTTAGTATAAATATGTCCATTGTATATGAATACGGGGAACCACTCAGAGAAAATATATTGATATTATATAGTCTTTTAGATATTCTTCTTGAAGCCCACACACGCTCGAAGTGTGAAATTGAAGTTTACCGTGACTCGAATACGGTTAGGAGCCAGAAGTCTGCTCGAAAGGTTTCTTTAGTTGCGTACTAAATTTCAGTACGTAACAGTTGTTCAGCCATAGCTATTCTTCAATTCCATGTATTTATTTTGTTTAATTTAATTTAGTAATCAATTATGCATATGTTAGTATGTTACCTATATACGTATCTATATTTGACCTATATTATTAAAGTGTAAAAAGTGCTAAAGATGCTATATTTTAAAGAGTATTTGGAAGGTATTTTATGTCTATTTTGTATCCAAGTAAGGACGATCTAGTCCAAGTTCCATTCTTACTTCTTAATTACCAATTGTTTTGTGTTGGTAGTTTACAATTGCTTGCATTTACTTGTGGAATAAGGTTCAAATTGGCCACTGAACGTAATCTGGAAATGCAGTTAGGCCACTGAACGAAAAAAAAAAGTGTAATTAGACCACTGAATACTCCAAAAATGTGCAATTTCACCTGATAGCAGGTTACCCTCAATTTTAGCAGGTTATCTGCTTACGTGGCAGCTGAGTTGGCATTTTTAATAAATTTTAATTAATTTTCAATAAATTTTAATAATAACTTTTTATTAATTTTTTTTTTTTAAAAAAAAAACGACTTTATTTTATTTTTTATTTAATTTTTTCCAATTTTTATAAAATTAATTATTAAAAATTATTTAAAAATTATTAAAAATACCAACTAAGCTGCCACGTAAGCAGGTAACCTGCTAAATTTGATGGTAACTTGCTATCGGGTGAAATTGCATACGTTTGGAGAGTTCAGTGGCCTAATTGCACATTTTTGGAGTGTTCAATGGCCTAATTGCACTTTTTTCGTTCAGTGGCCTAATTGCATTTTCAGGTTACGTTCAGTGGCCAATTTGAACCTTATTCCTTTACTTGTCTATCGCTTTGTGTTGTTACTTTCCAATGCTTCCTCACCAATCTTTGAGACTTAGCTCCCTAGTGATCCTACTATGAACCATTTAAAGAGCACTTTCGAGTAACGACAGTGAATTTCTCCATAAATCAACTGGCCACTCAAAGAAAATCTATCTCGATGGCCTTATAATATATAGTTAATCCCAAGCTAGTTTAAGATGACTATCCTAATTTGAATTGAGACAATGATCATTTTTATTTGTAACTATTTTATTCATTCTAATAACAGTCTCGTAAACTTAATGCATGATCCCTATCAGACACATTAAACTTACCAAATTAAAGTACAACAACTAGGCTCCCATCACTCAATTCACCCTTGTTACTATACCTAAATCTTTAACAATTTTAGTGTTGAAAAAAAAATGGTTACCAAATACTTACTTTAAGCAATCGAATCAAATAATTAAGGAATAAGGTTCAAATTGGCCACTGAACGTAACCTGAAAATGCAATTAGGCCACTGAACGAAAAAAAAGTGCAATTAGGCCACTGAACACTCAAAAAATGTGCAATTTCACCCGATAGCAGGTTACCTTCAATTTTAGCAGGTTATCTGCTTACGTGGCAGCTGAGTTGGCATTTTTAATAAATTTTAATTAATTTTTAATAAATTTTAATAATAACTTTTTATTAAAAAAAAATTTTTAAAAAATAAAAACGACTTTATTTTATTTTTTATAAAATTTATTATTAAAATTAATTATTAAAAATTATTTAAAAATTATTAAAAATGCCAACTAAGCTGCCACGTAAGCAGGTAACCTACTAAAATTGATGGTAACCTGCTATCCGGTAAAATTGCATACGTTTGGAGAGTTCAGTGGCCTAATTGCACATTTTTTGAGTGTTCAATGGCCTAATTGCACTTTTTTTTTTCGTTCAGTGGCCTAATTGCATTTTCAGGTTACGTTCAGTGGCCAATTTGAACCTTATTCCAATAATTTTTTTTTTTTGAAAGCTTATTCCAATAATTAATTAAGTACAAACCTAAAAACTTGTTTACTAACAAAATTCTCAACTCTCTAACAAATTAAATCAAATTGCACAATTATTTAAGATTCACATGAAATAATACACTCCATATATATTATGATAAATTTATGATACGTGAATCATACTAAGTAGAGTTGTTTTAAAAAAAATTGTACTTCGTAATTATTTATGATTGATATATAGGAATATAGCATGTCAGGCCAGTGTTTTAAGGTTATGGTTATTATATTACACGTGGCACGTTGTGCTTCTCTAAATGCGACTGTTTCATCATCATTCCACGATTGAATACCAAACATTTCATGCAACCTCTTCTCCAACGCACACTAGCTACTTTTTTCTGCACCCAACTCATTAAATATGTTTACACATTTAGGTATGGAATAAAAGAGACATGCTTCTAAGGAATTTTTGAGGGGTGAAACATAATTTTAATATTTAAAGATTATAAGTTCGATTTTTATTTATCAAGTGCATTATAGTATAAGAATCAATCAATTTCATAAATACTCATGAGATATGGATCGGATACGAAAATAGTTAGTATGTGACAACCTGAGCTTATATTAGTCGGACAATTGACTGAGAATCATAAAATTTTTGTTTTGACTCTCTCGCGTGGGTTGTCTATTAGTCTTATTAATTTGAATCCGGTTAGTTACAAGGTACATATGCTGATTTATTACGGTTAAAGTCACAAAATGAGATTTACTTATGATACATTTATACACATTCGAGTCTAAATTGTCGAGTTTATCGAAAATAAAAAATACGGAGTAGTTAATTTTGATTGACCATATTAATTTTGATTGGATGAGAATTGAGGTCAGACAACAAAATCAATCCCATTTATATATGGATATGGAAACGGGAATCCTTTGGAAGTAATCTTGGAATCAAAGAATCTGGAACCATTTTAATACCAAAACCGGCGACTCACTACAATTATAACATGCAAAACAGCACAGCAATTAATTGTTGTTTTTTTTAATGTTTTTGGTCGGACCATAAGACAAAAATCGAATGCACAGTGGTCCAGGTTTCCACTTCCATTTCTTGTCTGTAATTACCTGTAAGCAACCCCGGGGAAGAAAGACAAAACGCACAACACGCTACAGAACAAACCCAAACAATCCACATCAGATTGTCAGAAAATCGCGTTTCCTTAACGCCCTTCTTTATTCGCCCGTTTCCACGCCTGCCCTCCATCAAATCCGATGCTGGGGGCGAAGAAAATCTCGTCTCTCACCGGTAAAGTTCCCTTCTTTTCTTCCAATCATCGCCTTCTGAATATGGGTTTTGATCCTTGCGTCAATTCCTCCGGTGGGTCTCCCTCTGATTTCCTTGTTTTTGTTTTTGAAGATGAAGGTGAAGAGGAAGAAGATATGGTATTCATCTGTTTGTTTCTGGCGTGCGTATAGTTTAAGGAATCACTGGAATTTTAAGGATTGATTAATCTGTTGATTGAACAAATATAAATAGTAAATATGAGAGAAAAGAGGGATATTAGGCCTGTGCTGCTAAAATTTGGGGTAGCTGTGGCTCTGTCTCTTGGTGGAATTCTTTATACCATTTTGAGAAACAAAAGAATCAAGCCACCCAAACGCCCTCCCTCAAAAGGTATGATTCTTTATAATCCATTTCAATTTTGAAAGATTAAATTTGATTGTTATCTGGATGATTTGTGATTTGTGTTTGTATTTAAGGATATACTGTGATTTTAGCTTTTCTCTATATGTTTAATGTGATTGATTTAAGGAGAGGTATGGTGTTTTGAGTTTTTAGCTTTGTCTGAGGTTGTTTTGGCTATGTTTTCCTTGATCATATATGGCTCTGATGATCTGAACCTTTCTTGCATTTGTGTAAAACATAGGTGGTGAACATGTGGATCCCTCTTTGCAGGCTACGCCCCGCTGTCGTCTCGATCAATCCTCACAAACTACTCCCCGTGCTCGCCCTGATCAGAATACACCCCGGGCTCGTAGTTCTAGTTCTATGGCAATTGAGTCACAACCCTTGCAGAATACACCCCGTGCTCGTATTTCTGGTTCCATGGCACCAGAGATGCAATCCTCGCAGACTACACCCCGGGGTCGTGCTTCTGCCTCTATGGCACCGGAGATACAAATCTTGCATAGTACACCCCGGGCTCGTGCTTCTAGTTCTATGGCACCGGAGAAACAAGTAAGACCATTTCTTGATTGAAATATGATTTGATTTTGTCATTTTCTGTTACCAAATGTGATCCAATTGATGGAATTTAATGGACTCTTGTCAAGAGAAGAAAAGAATATATATATATGGCGATAAACTCAGTTGCTTAGTGTCTGTGCTAATCTACAAATAAAGATGTGTTTGAAATGAATTGTTAGTAATTTAGCTAAATGGATACATACACATTACCAAAACCTGGGGATTTTATAATACTGCAGAAATTTGGTTTGAACTAAACATTTCTTGGTTTTCTCGTGTATGTGTAGGAAGATCAATCTGTAAGTGAAGGTGTTGTGGATGTATGTTGTCCATCAACTAGCGGTAGATCTGAAGGAAAGGATGATGGGCTCCTCTTGCCGGAGTTCAATGATCTTGTGAGGGAGTTTACTTTAGCTACATCGAAACCTGGTTTTTCTCCGGGGAAAGATGTTGAAAGGAGTGAACGCGAGAAAGAAATCAGGAGCTTAAAAGACAACATTAAATCTCTCAAGGAAAGGGAGAGGAACCTCGAGATCAAACTGCTCGAGTATTATGGACTTAAGGAGCAAGAAACTGTTGTGATGGAGCTTCAAAACCGAATAAAAATCAACAGCATGGAGGCCAAGCTCTTCAGTCTCAAGATCGAGTCTTTGAAGTCGGATAAAAAGAGACTCGAGGCCCAAGTTGCTGATTATGCAAAGGTTGTGACAGAACTCGAAGCAGCGAAGATAAAGATAAAACAGCTCAAGAAGAAACTAAGGTCTGAAGCTGAGCATAGCAAGGGGCAGATTTGTGCCCTTCAAGAAAGAGTTATGAAGATGCACGACGAGGAAAAGAAGGCTCTCGGAACACTGCACCATCACGAAAAAAAGGGTAGTATTGGAACGGAGCTCCTAAAAACGGAGGACTTTCAGATGGAAGCCGAAGAGCTAAGGAATTCTAACAACACTTTGAGGATCGAGAATTCTGAACTGGCTCAGAGGTTAGAATATGTTCAGATCCTTGCGAATTCTGTTCTGGACGATGAAGAGGTAACTCTACTCTTTCATTCCATATTCGTTTCTGTTAAGAGTCTCACATCTATAAAATAAGAGAGAATATATGGGTTTATAAGGCCATGGGTTAGACTAGCTAATTGGTTGGATTCAATTCAATCTTTTAGTGTGGTTTGGTCCATGTGCATTATAGCCCAGTTGAGTGACCATGACCCAATCTTAAATTAACACAGTATCCTTTAATTTACTCGTGTTATGTAAAAACTATGGTCATTTTCACGATAGACAGAAGCATTGAAGGCAGAATCTGACCGTTTAAGGAAACAAAACGAAGATATGGCAAAGGAAATCGAGCAGCTCCAAGCAGACAGATGTAGTGACGCTGAAGAGCTCGTTTATCTGCGGTGGGTAAACGCGTGCCTGCGCTACGAGCTGAGAAACTACCAGCCCGATCCTGGTAAAACGATCGCAAGGGATCTTAGCAAGACGCTAAGCCCCAAGTCGGAGGAGAAAGCGAAGCAACTGATTCTGGAATATGCACATAGACAAGGCTCTGCTGAAAAGATGACTAACAGGAGTAACAGCAACGACTTCGATTCTGACTGGTCATCCTCCCAAGCTTCTTCGTACCAAACCGACTCGGGCGAACTCGATGACACATCTCTCGACAACACCTCTTCATCTGCAACCCAGAAAGCAGCAGCTAACACATCACGCAAAAGAAAAGTCTTCAGCAAGCTCATGAGGCTGATTCGGGGAAAGGAAAAGGACAATTCTCGCAGACTATCCCAGGACAAAGCTCCATCTGCAGAAGATACCTCAAGAAAATACCATTCCCAAGCCCATGGCCATTCTCCAGCTAGTACTTCCAATTCGGGCATTTCACCAGTCATCGATGTTGCCCCTGACAACTTCAACACCAAATCAAGAACATCATCTCAGGGCTCATCCCGACACTCTTTCCACGGGACACAGTCAAGCAGCTATCAAGAAGGGGTCATCAGAAAGGGCGATGATGTCTCCCCGGGTGGTGGTATGCGCAGAACCGATTCCACCCCAGCATCCCTCAACAATTCACCTCAAAAATGTTTCAAATCTGATATACTGAAATATGCAGAGGCATTGAAGGAAACTCGAGCTCTACCTTCATTCCGCAGGAGGTCAGCATCATTTGGCTCCTTAGCTCTACCCTAGTTTAAGGTTGCTCTATTCTGAGCTCTGCAGACCACACATTCAGAAGTGCATTGTACAGGACTATATATAGAAACTTGCATATATAAACCTTTTGGATGTCAAAGAAATGAATATGTAAATAAAATGCGGTTGAGCATGAGATGGTAGTGTTTGGTAAATGACTGATAATATAAAAATAGTGCAATCCAACTATCAGTCTTAGTTGAGAATAAAAAAGTAACCTGGATCTGCACACGTGAAGGGGTGTGGAGAGTATATAATATCAGTTTAAACTTTTAGTTAAGATGGAACATATCATTCTATTAAAATTACAAATTCATGTATTGTGATTTTTTTTTTTATAACATTTGATGTGGTTAGAGATCACGAAATTTGAATTCAAGTTTATTACTTATATAATAATTATACTGTGATTTACTTTAAAGTTACATATCAGATCTTAATTTATAAAATCAATTAAAATGATAAAATAAATAAAACGATTTTTTTTTTTTTTATAGCTCAGGTGATTCCAGTTTTGTCGAACTAATTCTAAGTCCACAGTACCGCGCCCCAGAGCCTTTGTGGAAGTAAATCAAGATCGCACTATCAGTCTATCGGCCTCAAAAGAGAAAATCTTCTTGTTAAATGAAACAATGTCGGTTAGATACCCCACTTATGTGATGTTGGGTTTGTGAAATACATTGGAAATAGAATGTCATCTCGTGAAATAGGTTTATTCTGTTAGGTACAATTTTTACCATAAAGAATAAAATTTCAATTGAATGGGCTATTCCCTTATGCCATGGGAAAAGCTATTCCCAAGCCCCTTAGTATTAGTTATTCCTAATCCATCAAGAATAAGTATTTGTTTATTAATCCAAAAATACATCTATAAACCTTTATAATATAAATACATATATGGTTGTTTCAAACTCCTATGGTAATCAGTTGGCTCTCTTTCTCCAAGAAGCAAAAGCTCTCACTTTTATTGATTAGACAGAGATCACAAGGTTCAAATTTAAGTTTATTTAATTATATAATAATAATTATTTTTTTGAATGCATATAATAATTATTATGATTTACTATAAAGTTACTTCTTGAATCTTAAGTTGTTAAATCAATTAAAATGATAAATAGATAAATAATGAGCCTTTAAAAATAATTCATATTCTATTTTTTTAAAACCAAACACCATGTTAAGTGAGAAGTCATTCACAAGAACCCAAAGCATTCCGGAAACGGAAACGTGGCATCTAAATGATTACCGAAGTCCGTACAATTATGACGTCTGCAATCTCATTACAGTTATAACTGACACTCAGCTGCATTTTCAGATTAGCAAACTCACTTCTCCACTCTCTTTCTCCAAGAACCAAAAGCTCTCTCTCTCTCTCGCTCGCTCGCTCGCTCGCTTCACTCTCTTTATCGTTCTAAAAACTGAATTGTTTCCTAACTAATCCGGTGCCGGAGAAACACAGATGGCGGCGGTGCCAGCACTTTCGCTGCTGGGGATGTCGGAGACTTTCTGGCGGCCCACTCTCTACGTCGGCGATCTTCACCCGGAAACCACCGAAGCAGACATCGAGGCCGCATTTTCTGTGATCGGCCCGCTGGATTCCTTCCGGATTTGCAGAGACGCCGTGTCTGGAAAATCTCTTCGCTATGCTTTTGTCAACTTCTTTTGTATATCTCATGGTAACAAACCATCCCGCTCTTCTACTATCTGAGTTTAATTCAAGAAATTATGATGCTGAATTCATAATCTGTTTCTGGGCTTTCTTGGTTGATTATAATCCTCAAATTATTTATATTTTTTTTTATCATCAGCTTCAAAGGCTCTTGCATGCCTAAACCATACAACCCTGAGAGGAAAGCCGATGAGGATTATGTGGTGGCAAAGGGATCCAGTGCTAATAAAATCTGGGATTGGGAATGTTTTTGTCAAGAACCTTGCTCCTTCAGTCACCAGTGCTCAATTAGAGAGCATGTTTAGCAAATATGGCACAATACTGTCCTGCAAAGTCGCAGAGGAAAATGGGAAGAGCAAATGTTTTGGATTTGTTCAGTTTGAAACTCAGAATTCTGCCATTTCTGCTATCAGTTCTCTCCATGGAGCAGTCTTTGAAGGGAAGAAGTTGTAAGTTGCCTATTGGATCTTCCGTTCTTGTGTTTCTTTTCCTGATTTTGGAAGTTAAAGATGGTGACAGACTATTTCTTCCCTACTGTTAAACGAATGATCAGCCTTTCACTTGTAGATTTTGGCTTCAGATTGTTGTTTTGAACAATGAGTTTAAATTGTTTGGTGTTTTTCAGATATGTGTCCACATTTAAGAAGAAACAAGAGAGGATGATGGGTGCCTTTACAGAGCAAAAATTCAATAATCTGTATGTGAAAAACTTCGATTGCAATCTGACAGAGGATCTCCTAAGAGAGAAGTTCTCCAGATATGGGAAGGTCAATTCTGCTGTCATTATGAGGGATGAAGAAGGAAATTCAAGGGGCTTTGGCTTTGTCAAGTTTGATTCAGATGAAGATGCTATGAAGGCTGTTGAGGCTCTTAATGGTGAACTAATAGGTATGTATTTCTTGCACCTCGAATTTGACTGAAGATAGAAAACATGAGGCTGTTGTAATGTCTTTTTCATCTCAGGATCAAAGAGGCTGTTTGTTGGAAGGGCACAGAAGAAGTCTGAAAGGGAAAGACTCTTGAGAAGTGTATGCGAGGAGGACAAGTTAACCCTTCGTGATCATAAGCTCGAGGCTTCGAGACTGTATGTGGGGAACCTCGGTGTTTCCATCAATGAAAGAAAGTTAGATGAACTATTCAGAGCTTATGGAAAAGTGGTTTCAGTAAATATCATTCGCAGTAATGGGATCAGCAAAGGATTCGGGTTTGTGAACTTTTCCAGCCCGGGAGATGCCAAGGCAGCTATGAATTCACTTAATGGTGAGCTAATGTAGCGATTCATTCCTTCATTTCGATATGCATTATTAGTACTAACATATGTCTCGTTTTCAATAGGAATGGTGTATTATGGAAAGCCTTTGTATGTGTCATTGGCGTATCCCAGGGAAGAGCATTCGAGCAAGTCACTGTCATCTTTCACTTCTTCACACAAGTCTCTTTATAACGCCCCGTCTTATTCCTTGCCAATGTCCATTGCACATTTCAATCCTTACCAGTCTTCCATGCATCAAGACTTTAGCAGACAGTTCAGTGAATTCTATCTTGCTGGAATGCATAATTTTCAGGGAAACAAGTTCACATATGTAAGCAATTTCCTGGTTTGCTAGCTTAGGATCTGGTATGATAATGTTGTTTATCGTTCTTGAATTGAAGCGCTCTTTATATGTTATTGCAGACTATGAAGTCTGCTCCCAGTGTTTCTATCCCGGACTGGAAGTGTGGGGCTCAGAAGCAACAACCAAGAACCTGCTGGGAACCGAAAAACAAGAACATGAAAGGAGCTACATCAGTAACAGCCACTTCAAAAGAGCTAAGTGCAATCCACAACGAAAAGCGTCGCTCTCTTATGGTCTGAGCTTCGGGTTTTATGACTACACAAGTTTGTATTGAAGTTCTGGAATTACGGGGATCATTTCAGCAGTGCTTCCTTTTCTCCACGTCGTCTTGACAGCAATATGCATGGGTTTCGATGCTAGAGTTTAACCTTTTGTGATTGATAGATTGGGCAATCTGTAAAGATGAATGGCTGTTGGAAGCAAACCACTCTGACAAGTAGAAAACAGTACAAATGCTGAAAACAGGCCAAGCATTGTCACCATTTCCGCCTTTTATCACTTCTGCCATGTCTGCAGATACTCATTTTAGGGTTATTCATATGTTAGTATGTTCATAATTGCTTGTATAAGAGATTCTAGTGGCCTCTCCCTAAATGTAAGGGAAGGATTACTGTTGTTCATGCTTTTCTCCTATGAATACAAGTATCTGCTGCTTCAATTGCTTGCTATATTTTCTTCAAACAATAATTTAGGAAAATACAAGCTAAGGATAAAGCTGTAAGTAACTGCAGATTGAATTTTCCTTTTCAGAAGTTCAAACTAATACACATATCATAATCTTCCTGACACTACCATTATTAATCTTTCTGTGAATAACAGACTTGAAAGCACAAGTAAAGAAAGACAGTGGTATCTTTAACACGACGAGAACACACAGAAGTAGTGGAAATCCTCGTGGGTCGATCATCCAATGAGATCAATGCCTTGGGTGATGAGTGCATCTGCCAAGACCTGATTAGCAGCCTCAGATGGATGGACACTGTCCCAAAACACATATTGTGTTGCATTGCTGCAAGTTCCCGGCGACTTAGGATTGCACAACAACACCGTTGTCTCAACCGTGCCTGTTCCACAGCACCCTCTAGCTGCTTCCACAAAACCTGCTCAGTAAATACAAGACAGACGCCAATGAGCTATTCTGTACTAGTGTAATTTCTTGTAAAGAACCGAAAGAAACAAAATGGTGTGGATACCGGAGCTTGAAGGCGATTTGATTAGGTCGTAGAGGGGCTGAAAGATGTCAAAGACAACAAGTTTGAGGTCAGGGAGTTGCTTCTTCAGCTGAGCTGCAGCTGAATTGACCTTCTTGTTGAACTGTTGCGCGTTGGTGTTGATATAACCAACACACCCACTCTGATGAAATCCAAACAGAGTTCTTGCTGCTGGCAAACACCCCAATGGTGGAAGAGAAGTCACACCAATTTTCCTGGCTCCCAATCCATAAAGATCCTGTTTTTATTTTAACAACCCATCAGAATGAATCTTGAAGTAACATTTATCTATCTGTGGTTTAATTAAGAAGATACAGACCTTAATAAAGCTGTTGAATATGCTGACAAGGTATGACCCATATTGATCAGGAGTGTAGACTTTATTAAGGTAAGGATTGACATAGTAATTCTGCAAGAAATCACTGCTCCCAAACCCCACAATATACAGTGCATCCTTGATGATAGATGCAGCTTTCTTGCTGCCTGCTACACCTGCTAACTTACCTTGGTACTCCTTGTAATACTCTACCTGTTGTGACAGTGGAATTGCATTCTGCACAATTCAGTTCCAAATTCCATCATCAATAATCCAATCATAATTTTTATTTAAAAAAAAAAAAAAAGGACAACCCCAGCCAGCCAAATCAGTTAGGCTGTTGGCTTGATAACCACAACATTACAAGTTCGACTCTCAATTAACATTCTTGATTTGAACCAGTCAGCTATGATTAACCTAGACTGGTTTACCGACTAGGGTCACAAGGCGTGCACACTCTCATAGTGGCAGCAGGTTTCACTTGTCACTCAAATAAACAAAAAAGAAATGATCTTTTTTACACTAAGAAGTGCAGTCTTTTCATCATAGCCAGATGCAGCAGAAGCAAAGTTGGCACCAATCAGAAGATTCTTCCCTGTTGCCTGTGGGCTAAGATATGCCACTGGATAAGAACTAAACCCCAAAGTATCAGCTGCAGATATAACCAAGGAGAAACATTAAAAAACACCAATTAAGATAACATAACTACCTATATCAGTAACTAATTAACTAACCTGTAATATCAGTGGCTAGCTTTCCATTGCAGAACCTTCCGGTGGGCTGATGGCTAGCAAAATCTCGGCCGTAAGGCGGATAATCGGCCTTGAAGATGGTGTGAACGTAGTTATTGTTGCCAACGTCCACCGACGAGTCTCCGAACGCAATGATGGCCGGCACCAGCGGCTGAGCGCCACCTCCGACGATAAACGCCGCCACAAATATCACGGCCAACACTTCCCCAAACCGACAACCCATTTTTCAAGAAATTGTGTGGGATATGATAGATAGAGATAGAGCTGAGTGCCCAGACCTTTATATGACAGCAGGACCGGCCCAAATGTGGGCATTGAAGACGGAAGATGAAAGTTGAGACGCCATTAATGCCGCCCAGAGAGTAGTTAGACTTCATTAATAATGGCAAAAGGCGTAAATGCATGTGCAATGATGATATTTTTCCTTGGGGGGTGCATACACAGATACATACACAGATCAGACTACAGAGATCATCTTCTTTTTTTTTTTTTGTCAACCTCATACTCTGCAGAAATCTGGTTGAAGCTGCCATCTATATCAAACAGTTAGTAAATCGATAGATCATTAAACTGACAGTCAGACAACTACTAGCGCCATGCAAGAAGTTGTTGCGAGGGCACCGTACCGGAACAAATAATTGCGCCGGCGCGTGAGGATTTACATACAAACTAGATTTATCTCAAACTAGATTTTATAAAATAAGTCCATAAAATAAACCCAAACTAGATTTTATTGAGTTTACATGTTTAATAGTCAATGATATGATCTTTTTAGATGTACAATAAAAATTATAAAATTACACCGGAGTGAGTGAATCATGATAGATTCTCACACCAAAAAATCTTGTATTTGATTCATTCCAATATCCTCTTAATTCGTACAAGCATGATTTACTCAATGCACATACTTAAATTATTGATCAATTACATACAAGTAAAGTTTATCCCATGTTTACTCCTAAACCCAGAAATTGTTGTCATTACATTTGTTTCAGCTGGCATGGCACGTATGGCACTAGTAGTGTCTTTAATGAATCCATGTGTGATTATTTATTATTACACATGCATGATGATGCACGTAATGTCATTTTTGCCGGTCTAGATTATTAATTAATAATTGATTAATTAATTAATTAATTTTTTAAGAGTTATTTTTTAAAATATAAATATTAAATTTATAAAAACGATTTACATGAAACGTTATGTTGTGCAATTGTGTGCACTATGCAAGGTGCACACGGTTCCAAATTCATAATTTTTATATTATAGATTCATAATTTCTATACTGTAGATTCATAATTTTTAAATTATAGATTTATAATTTAAATACAGTAAATTCATAATTTCTATACTGCAGATTCATAATACATATACTGTAGATTCATAATTTTTGTATTGTAGATTTATAATTTCTAAACTGTATAGTTATCAAATTATGAACATATAGTTCTGTGATTTGTGAATACAGAGTTCAACAATTGGGAATATGAATATTGAAAATTATGAATATAGAGTTCTGTAATTATGGATATAGAGTTCAATGATTATGAATATGAAATTTAAAAATTATGAATATATAGTTTTATAATTATGAACATAGAACAGTGTACACTATTGCACAACATAATTTACCAATTTACGTTATTATTATTGTTATTATTAAATAATAATATAATTATCTAAAATCTAAATAAATCGAAAATTGTAATATTGGCACTGGTATCCCGGGATATAAAAAAAATATTGGAGTATTGGAGATCAATTATATTTTTGGGCATCCAACATATGCGCCAACGCACACAAATGTTGAACTTGACTGCTTCGTCATCTTTAGTGTAGTATATGGAAGACCAAGTCTTCAATTAATGTTTTTCAAAAAAAAAAAAAAAAAGTCTTCAATTAATGCCATTGATTTTATTACGTACATTGACAGATAGGTTGTCCTTGAATTTAATAATTTCATAGCAGGAATACAGAAAACCATAAACACATGAATAATACAATAAACCGTACGTAATTCCCCAGAAAGGGGTAACGGAGTGACTTTTGTTTCATTTCATTTATTTGGAGAAACAAATGTTAATTAAAGCCTTATGATCGAGCAGCCGGAAAGTTGCTTATCACGGCGGAGAAGCTTCATGGGACTGGGTGGTAATGGGGCCGCCGGCACCGCAGCCGCAACGGCAACAAGATCCCGGCGGCGGCGGCTCACAGCATACACAGGCCGGACATATAGGCCTTCTCCCCAACACCTCTGCGGCATTATATATATATATATATATATATATATATATATATATATATGCATGTTAAAATATCAGAATCAGAACAAGAAAATCACTCCCAGCTTCATATATAATCAATCAAAATGCTTCTTTAACTATAATTAATTAATGAAAATAAATAATAATTAATTGCTTAATCAAATAAACATATATACCTTTAAAAGTTGTAGGCCGAGCTGCATCTGTGAAGGTAATTGCAGGAGATATAACCAAAGCAATAATGAAGATTACAGTTAGGATCATGGCAGATCTTGTAGCCATTGCTAGCTGCTTGCTAGATATATTGTCTGAAAGAGGAGGTAAGGATCGGACCTTCTCAATTTATATTGATTTATGTTCTTGTAATTTGTTACAGTTAGTGTTATAAATACAGCACGTTTGGTTCACGGAATGAATTTTGAGGTAATAGGAATGTTATTTCATAAGGAATGGAATAGGCGAGGAATATAATAGGAATTGTATTCTATTGTTTGGTTCGCAGAAGGAATAGACTTTAGGAATTATATTACAATGTTTGGTTGATTTAAGGAATATAAATGAAATATGTTTTAAAAGACATAAATACTCTTATAAAAATATGTGATGGTGGTGATGGTGGTGGTGGTGACGGCGGCGATGGTGGTGGCGGTGGTGGTGATGGTGGTGGTGGCGGTGGTGGTGGTGGTGCTGGGGTGGTAGTGGTGGCGATGGCAGTGGTGGGGGCGACGGTGGTGGTGGTGACGGTGACGGTTGTGGCAGTGGTGGAGGGGACGGCGACGGTTGTGGTGGTGGTGCTGCTGGGTGGTGGTTCTGGTGGCGGTGGTGGTGGTGGCGGCGGCGATGGTGGTGGCGGTAGCAATGGTGGGGGCGGCGATGGTGGTGGTGGTGGCGGCGGCGACGATGGTGGTGGTGGCTGCGGCGGCGGTGATAGTGGTGGTGACGACGGTGGTGAAATAGGATATAAATTTATATATAAGATAAAAAATTAAGTTAAAGAAATGGGTAAAAAATAAAATAGATTCTAAAATCTATTCCTGAGCGTTCAGTAATAGGCTAATACCAGGGGCCCTAGTAATAGCTTGAGGTAATAGGCTATTACCAGGAATATTATTTCTGGTAATAGAAATGGTTACCAAACAAAGGAATATGCATATTACTGGGAATGCTATGCCATTCCCGACCTATTCCGTGAACGTACCAAACGGGCCAATAGGGTACATATAATTTTCTGTAATTACAATTAACTTTCCTCGTAAATCAAAGGAAGAGATAATATCAGTGTATTTATATATATGATGTATGCGATACATATATATTTATATTTATATACATACAAATATTCAAACTGGACAAATAGTCAAATTCTTTGTTTCCATGCAAATTATTAATGCTTTGACTTGACTAAATCAATTTCATATAAATTTTTATTTTATTTATTATTATTATTATTATTATTATTTTGTAATCTATAACCTTCTATTCTTATTCTTGACCGTTTTATAAACTTAAATAATAGTGATAAGTATGATATCTGTTCATTAATACGCATTTTTTCCAAAAACGAATCCGAACCCTATAGTTACTCCCTTAACTTGTCTGGAATTCAATAAAATGTTATGCATACCTATTTCATATCTTCTCCCAAAAAATTAAATTCCTAACCTCAAAAGATCACATCCAGGACGGAGGCCGGCCCCCACACTCACCCCACCATAAACTAAAAATTTTAATAAATATTTAAATATATATTATTATATTAAGAATAAAAATTCACTTTTGACCTCCTTCAAATTTTACTATGTATTTATTAAATATAAGCCTAAAACAGTAAAACATGGCACTGAAGTTCAAATTCACCAAATAAAAAGAAATAAATCAAACAATTAATCAGTTAGTTATTATGTATTTTTATTATTTATTTACACTTTTAAGATGTATAATTGCTAATTCAAGATTAGTTTTGAAATTGAAAAAATTAATGTTAATATTGGTTTTTTAATTCGTAATTTTGAGTTTCGTCCTCATTCATCAAACTTTGGTAACTAGTAAAATGAATATCAATTAATTATGTAAAAAAAAAATGTTGCCAACAAAATAATTGAAAGCTTTTATTTGATAAAAAAGTGACAAGCAACATTATTATTATTATTATATATATTTTGTGTTTGTGAAAAATTATAAAGTATCAATTAACATCAATGTCAATCATTACATAAATTAAAGTAAGTATCAATATAAATTATTACCAATAATATAGAGTATAATTATGCATGGATGCATGGTATATATAATGATATCATACATGATGGGTACTATTATGAATTGATATCGTAAATTTAGAACTTTTAATTTTCTATGATCCTAGTCCCCTTTACATGAATTTTCTGGCTCCGCCCTGATCAAAGTTTTGTTCCAATGTTCCATGTCAACTTAACCAAACTTGGTTTATTTATTTAAGAGAACATTATATTGTTTTTTGGTACATTTGAGAGAGGATATGATGGATGCATGGGAATTGTGGGAAACTGGGAATCAAAATAACCAGCCGTCTGCTTTGTGTAATAACCCCGGCCCGCCGCAAGCAAACTACTATATATTATTAGATCAAAGTACGTAAACAACGAATATATATAATTCTTTATCACAAATTTTTATTAATTAGTTGTTCTAAGCACATACATAATGAGAAATTTAGACATAATTTACTAAACGACTTGCAGAAGACACACACACACACACACACACAAAAAAAAAAAAAAAAAAAAAAAAACATATTGATACAAACAATATATTTGTAGTGTATGTATATTATAGTTAAAGAAGGTCGATCAGCAACCGCACTTGAGACAGCATGAGCCCGGCGGCGGTGGTTCGCAACACCCAACACAGTCGTCCAGGCAATACATTACGGGGGTGGTGGTAGTGTTAGCCTTAAGCAGTTCTGCAAAAAGGAAATTAAAATTTAATATTTTCGCATTATATTACCTACAATCTAACTATATATTAATTTAGCGTTGTATTAGTTTAGAGGGAAAAAAAAAGTATTCATTTGTGATGCTTAATTACCTCGAGAAACTCGAGCGGCCTCGGACGGATTCGCTGCCATGATCGAGATGAAGATAACAGAAACAAACACGGCCACGAATATGAACCTTAGAGGGAAATAAGAGCCGGCCATAACTATATATATATATGTCTGCAATTTGGTAATGATAATGATTTTCCAATTTCCGAGGTAGGATATGATGCATGAACCCATTAAGGTTAAGACCTATTTATAACAAATTCGTGTCTTGTTTGTATGGGGCACGTAACTTCATTGCAATTGAGAAGGAAGATAATACAAAGGAGGACCGAAGATCATATCAGAGAATTGGTCAGTCAATATAATGTTTGTTCGAATACAGTAATGTGAAAAGAAGCGTGTAACGATACGATGAACCTTCAATATAATCCAATTCCCATGCGACCTGGTACTGGTAGCACGCAAATTATATAAGAAAGAAAAATTGTACTAAAATAATCATGTGTAATAAGTTGAATTTAAAAAGATGTTACATTAAAATTATACTGATAATAATTTAATAGAAAAATCATACTTTACCTACTATCACATTTTCAAGTGTACTATGTTGGTGTTTCTTAATTACTTGCCCACAAAGGAATTTAATCGATAAATAATGTTAAATTTTTCCAGGAATCCAGACCAAGCGTTTTTCCAGTCTTGCGTAGAATTTTTTGTATGTTGAAGTCAGTCAACACAACCGCGTCGTTGGAATTTAAGATGGAATTGAAGAAACAAGTTGAATAGTGTAGCGGTGTAGGAGTCATACTTAGTCCAATCTCTCTCTCTCTCTCTCTCTCTCTCTCTCTCTCTCTCTATATATATATATATATATATATATATATATATATATATATATATGTATATATAGGGACGCACTCAGGTGCGAATAAGTGCCCAGGAAGGAAATGCGAACGAATCAGCGCGCGACACGTGTCCAGATCTAATAACTTAAAAAAAAACGCGGTGGCATTTTCGTAAATAATTGAACATCGAAGTGCAAGTAAAATCTCTTATAAGTGCACCTATTTTCACCTATTAGTGCATGTAATTTTGCCTTGTTAGCATTCACTTTCCGCAACCATTCATGCACCTGGGTGTGCTTATAACTATATGTGCAACTATTTATAACTATAGGTGTAACTACTTATAACTATATGTGCACCTACTTTCACCTATAAGTGCATGTAATTCTGCCTTGTTAACATTCATTGATCTGAGTTCGCGGGTAGTAATACTCCTGAAAACCACTCGCAAACATTCATACACCTAGATGCAACTACTTATACCTATGTGTGCAACTACTTAGAACTATTGGTGCAACTACTTATACCTATCTGTGCAACTACTTAGAACTATAAGTGCAACTAAGTATTGATGCTCAGTGTAAATTTTTACTTGCACCTATAATACATTTTACATGCACTTGTAATACATTTTACATGCACCTCGATGTTCAATTATTTACGAAAATGCCACCGCATTTTTTTTTTAAATCAGTGTTTCTCATCCATTAGATCTGGACACGTGGACGAACAGAATCCATTCCTATTTCGCGCCTGGGCGAGTCGTTCGCACCCGAGTGCAAGTCTATATATATATATATATATATATATATATAGAAGGGATCAGGTGCGGGTGGTGCTTCCCGTGCGGTTGTGCGGGTGGATGCACACTAAGCATTACACTGGCGCACTTTAAGTACACAACATACGCACATTAAACACACAAACAATACAGTCAGAACACAAACTCACGCACTTTAAGCATAAAAGTCACGCATCTTAAGCACAACCCTCACGCACCTTAAGCACAAAACTCACGCATCTTAAGCACAACCTTCACACACCTTAAGCACAAAAACACACGCACCTTAAGTTTTAACAACAACTCACATTAAGTACACACCCACGCACCTTAAGCACAAAAGTCACGCATCTTAAGCACAACCCTCACGCACCTTAAGCACAAAACTCACGCCCACTAAGCACAAAACTCATGCACTTTAAAGTTTCAATAACTCACATTAAGTACACACTCACGCACATTAAGCACAAAACTTACGCACATTAGGCACAAGACTCACGCGCCTTAAGTACAAAACCCACGCACATTAAGTATTACACACTCACGCACATTAAGCACAAACCTCACGCACCTTAAACACAATACTCACCCACATTAAGTACAAAACTCGCGAACATTAATCACCCGCACAACCGCATGAGAAACCTTCACCCGCATTGGAACTTAAACCTATATATATATATATATATATATATATATATATATATATATATATATATATATATATATATATATATATATATATATTGGAGTAGTATTGACACTGTTATAATGCAGTATCTGTTCATAACTATTTTCTCAACCTATTGAAGCACAAAGAGTTAATACCGCTTCCCCTTAGGCTCAAACCAATAACCTCCCATATGGGAGAGTCACTTCGTGTCGCTAGACCACAAGATTATTGTCAGTCCAATCTATATATATAAATCAGGGTCTATATAACACTGTATACTCAAGTCATAATTAAAATATATTTTTAATATTTTTCTGGGTTTTTTTTTAACTAAAAAAAAAAACACACAGTTTGAGAGAGGGTTAGGGGTAGTTAAAGTGAATTGAAATTAAACTTATCATTTCCTATGTAACTTATGCGTTTAACCATGATATATATATTTAATTTGGCAAAAAGTTTGAAAGCATACATGTTAGATATGCTTTATTACTAATTGAATTCACATGTTATGTTGATTAGGTTCGCATTCTACCACATGCTAAGCGGGTAACTATGGTACAAAAACGCACACATTATTTTTTATTGTAATATGACTGAATAGATTAAACATAATTACCGTACTAAAAAAATTACAAATTTAGTTCTTGTTAATACCGTCTTAATCGGGTTCATTGGACGAATTGTAAAGCTAAGAAAGCAATTGAATGAACTTTTATTTGAAAGTGAAATATAACTACATGGCCAAATTAAAGCATTACATAATACTACATAACTATTATTATTGAACAACCAAACGAAAAGGTTCTTCTAACTACTAAAATAGCTACATATGGCAATAAAGTTTGGTACTCTTCAAGTCTCATGCATGTGACCATTGATTCAATCTCTTGGATAGTTTTCATCAACTATTCACCACCTCAGCTTTGCAGGGAAATACTGCAATTTCATAACAATAATAATAAATGAATCAATAAAAAATTTAATAATAATAACAATAATAATAATAATAATAATAATAATAATAATAATAATAAAGTTAATAAAATATAAACATGAGCAAAATTTATCTGGTACACATACTCGAATAGTGACTGTATTTTCATAGTCATCCAAAAAATAATAAAATATATGTATATTGTGCTATATTAAAAATTATGTTCACCTTGTCAATTAATGAGAGATAATAGGGTTTGACTTTCTCGATGTCAATTCTTTCTTTGCTCTTACTGTATAGATCATACTTGCTGCAAAACGAAATTAAACCAACATAGTTACAACCGTATAATTCATATACACATTAGGAGCGGGCCATATAATTACCTCTCATGTGTTATTTACAAGTTATTTTAAAAGAAATGTTTACACATTCAGTATACACTATCGGATAGTAATTGCCAATTTTTATTGTTATTCAAAATAAATAAATAAATAATATTGTTGTTAATTACTTGAAAATGTGTAGCCACTTGAGATTCTCCTTGTCCTCTTCATTCATAAGGTACATGTAAGATCCTGCCCTGTGGAGAGCTGCAACATAACAAGTAAATTGAACCTAAATTTTTACAACCTCGTATGGTACGTACGGTATTTTAGACTATAAATAACATTGTATTATGTGACATTATATTGCATGGTTTTTATGTTAAGTTTACCATAGAAAGAGTGGTATCTGATAATGAAGAGACCAGCGTTGGGTAGAGTGGTTTTGTTCTCTTTTGCAACCTGATCAAGATTTATACAAGTTAATTAAATACATAAATGTGTTAAAGTCTATAGTGTTGATCTGTACATAAAACCGTGCACGTACCAAATACATGTAATCATCATGTCCCCAAGACATCATAACATTATTTAGGCCACAACCCTTTGAGTAAACTCCATATTTTGTATTGTAAGAAGGGTTGTAATAATCTGGGTTTTCCTTAAAGTACTACAAAAACAAATAAATAAATCAGGTTATATAATAAGCTAAATTATAGAATAAATATTTTTTTAGATGACGAGAAAAATCTACTCTACTGTTAATGAGGAGGAAGATACCTTTTGATGGACAATGAATTCATCAAAAGCACAGCCAACTGGAAATGTGTCACCTACAACTGCCCATTGAGGCAGCCCTCCAAAGCTAGGAAGGAGAAGAACCTTTCCAAGATCTGAAATCGAGACAAAAATTAGAATATGAAAAATTGAGAGATTGAATCTGACTAATTAACTAGTCTAACTTATGACCTTATAAACTCATATGTTTTCTCTTATTTTATCAACGTGTGACTTTTAACAATTAATACCGTGAATGAGGGCAGTCAAGTGGAGCCAATCTTCATTAGGGTAATCCCTTCTAATAGCTTCAGCACTCTGCAACAAATGTTCAATTTGGGGCTCATCAAGATCTGGATCACTGTCATCCACCACGTCATTCAAAAGCTCACAACATTCCCAAATGCTCATTTCCACCCTGTTTAATCTTGAATATTCTTTCCTCATCTTCTTCACCTGAAGTTATTATTTTAAATTAAAACAATTCAATTTTTTTTTTAATTTGTTAGCTTAACAAATAAAAATATTAATTAGACTGAAACAAACAAACAAAAAAAAGAAAGAAATTAATTACTTACAAAATCATAGGTTTGGTTAGTGTGATTAATCCTATAGAAATTTTCCACCCCTTCTTGTCTTTCACTTTCACCATCATAGTCCCTATTTAGCATGTGCTAAAATCATGTCAATTAACATCACAACAATAATAATAATTTTTATGTGGTACAAAACAAATCAAGTTAAACTAAATTGTACTATAAAGTATTAACACCGATATTAATAGTATCAAGAACAGCCAAATTAAATATATTGGCTAGTGTGCCAATGACCTTGTGGTCTAGTAGCATGAAGTAACTCTCCCAAATCGAAAGTCACGGATTTAAGCTCTAATGAAACGGTATTGACTATTTATGCTTCAGTTGGGGTCGGTCACAACTCATAAGGCATGTTTACCTAAAGTGCACAATTGACAAAGAGCCCAAATTTAGAATAAGAAAGGGTTCAAACTTCAAAGGGCCCAAACCGATTATTTTCGGCCCATCTTGAGCATGTGCAGGCCCAGTAAACGTAGTTCGGCCATAGAAGCCCAAAACAATACTAAAACGTGAATATAATTCCAATTATTATTAAGACATCTTTGTCAGGTTTTCAGAAAAGATATATTAACCGGCCAGACGTTGGATTCCTTGTCGGAATTGGTGTCGAGATTTTGTGATTTTTGTCCAATCTGTAATTGTCAATTTGTCATATTCATATCCATCTTGTTACCCTCTCACCAAAAGTAACCATATAAATATAAATAATTGCCATTAAAATTAAATTATACATTCACAGTAAAAAAATTATTATGTCACTTTTAATTAATCTGAACATTAAGGTGACCAGGAAAATTCAAAGTCATAGTCAAAGATTGTGCATTAAAAAATCTCATTTAAACGAGTTTAACTGTGAAAATGTTGACAAGAATTAAATTCGTTGTTATATATGAAAGTTATGCTTCACCCAGCCCGTTCCGAGGGTTTAGATCTAAATATTGGAATTTTTTCAATTTTTTTTGGAAATAAAATATTGGAATTATTAGGAGAAGAAGAGTAAAAAGACCTAAAATTGTGGCCAAAAGCGTTGGTATGTGGAACAAAAAATTCACCACCAAACCCTACTTCTGTTTCATTTTTTGGGATCTTCTTATCCTCAACCTCAACCTCAACCTCAATACCTGTTTCCAATAAAACATGAAAATTTAAAATAAAATAAAAATAACAAGAGATAGAGAAAAGGGAAAGTCTACAAATTTCAAAAGAAAAAAAAATAGCAATAATGGAAAAATACCCAGAATAATTGGTATAAGATCGAATAATGGAACTCTAAGGAAATTTAAAAAAAAAAAATTACCAAACTGGGATGGCTGATCAATAAGGATAGTCATCCTGACAGAACGAAGCAAGAAGAATAGTTGAAGCAGAAGAAAAAAAAGGATCGGAGGAAGAAAAGATAAATATAGAGAAGGAGATCGAAAATGTATAACAATGGCGGCTGGGCTGCATGTTAGGGAGAGAAGGAAAGGACAGTATTTATATTGGCCGGAAAGTCCTTCCCTGAGATTTTGGATGCTAGAAGTCCTTCCCAGAAAAACTCAAACTCTACATATCCTTCTACCTGTAAACTTTACTAATTATTTTTATTATTATATATTAAGTAAGTAATAAAATTAATTCTTTACTAATATAAAACTGTTATCTGTTTTCTGTTTAGAAAATTTGTTTACTAACACTTATTTTTTCAAATTTATTTTTTTTAGATTAACGTTATAAAATTAACACAAGTTTAATTTTGAGTGAATTTTAGATCTTATAATTTTACATATGTTTGGTTTAAATGGAATAAGTTTATTTATTTTTTTACTTTTAAGTCTAATATATGTAAGATTTTTACATTTGATAACTGAACAAAATTTATATATGTATATAACATAATAACTAAAAAATATATCCGAACCAATAACCTACTAAGTTCACATAAAATTTATTTTAGATAATATTAATATTTTTTGAGCTACTAAGCAAATACTTTATGTTTAAATAAGTAAAAAGTAAGTAGAAAAGATAGAAGATAGTGATAAGTAAAATAAGATGATAATGAATGTAATCATAGTAATGTGGTTATATTGACATCTAACTAAATAGATGATAGATTATTCCGTTTTTTATTTAGAAAATAATTTTTAAGATAAAATTATTTTCAGTTTTCAAAATTGAAAACGGTGCTAATACACATATTTTTTGTTCTCTATTTTTCAGTTTTCAGGAATTTCTAGTTAGTAAACGAATCCCTAAAATGTTTTATTTTTTGTTCCCTTCAAACATTAAAAAAGTATAGCCAGTTGTCCAGTTGGATACAGGCCGGCATACAGCAGAAGATGGAGAAGGACTCATGGTCCTGCTGCCTGTTGGTGGGGTTTGTTCATGCAACTTGACAACTCAATTTAAAGTTCTTCATTTACCCACCACACAAAGATTGTGCAAATATATTTATTTGTCCCGCTTATAGCTCAAGAATCCTATTAATTCAATACGACGCCATAAATCGTGCCAAATTCATACCGACCGAGGAAATAGATTTTTTCCTAAAAAAAAGATAAATAGTATGTAAAGTGCAAAAGTTTTTGGAAGGGATTGATAAAAAGCATGACACAAAGATATTTAAAGTAAAAATAAAATGCTGAAAATCACGTGTTTTTTTAGGTTAAGTCAAGTCGAAATCTACTATAGATGTTCAGGTATATGTACACAGGCACCATGGCTATGGACTGAAAGAGGAAGAAATACATAGAAAGATTAGTTATGACTGAATGAGCCTCCCCCATTGTCCTAAGGCCATTTTTGTGTAGCTACAACTTCCCTTAACTTTTCCTATTTTCATGCCATGACTCCTTCCGGCCCTCCGGGGGCTCGGTGACATTACCATCCGGGGAGGGTGCCACTACCTCCACACCTGGTCCTAGTAATTTTCTTGCTTACTCCATATGACATTCATTAGTGTTCGGGGAGTAGAGCTAGGATAGCCAACTCGAGCTCGGTATAAACAATAGTGGGGTCAAGACTCAAACTTGACTCGGGTTCTACGGTTTGGAGGGGAAACATCCAAAGGATACCCATATAAAGAAGAAAACTCGGTAGAGGGGTGTGTTAATTCACCTAGATGGGAGTTATCATTCATTGGGAGATCACTAATATTGATGGAATCCAAAATCTCGTATGGTGAAACAAGGCTAAAGTGCATGCAAAGGAGCAAAAATGGGCAAGAGGCATCTCGTCCAAATGATAAACAATTCAAGAAAAAAAAATGACGTATAGAGGGGAGGGGAAGAAACTAACCCAGGCTCAAACTTGGGACTCGACGTGAGGACTCGCGGAGAGTTCTTGATCTTAAGAGGAAGCTTGAGAGTGGAGAAGATGGAGAGAGTGAGACTTGGAGGTGTGGGCCAAAATGGGGTGAGGAAATGGGGATTGAATAGAAGGAGGAAGGGGGAGAAAGGAGGAGGGAAATGGTGGTATTCATTTTTGAATTTCAAATGGTGCCTAGGGAAGGGGAAAGAATTAATGGGTGTGACTTGGGGTTCTCCAAGGGTTTTATAAGGGGTACAAGACTTATTGGTATTTTAAATATTTTGGAAGGTGTTGTAGGAGGAGGAGTCCATTTGCGATAAAATTTTACTTAATCGTGATTGGTAAAGTGCGTCAAAAAAAAAATATATTCTCCTTCGTACCTTGGTCTTGTGTTTTTTTGTTACTATAAATATATGGGTATGTGCGGTAAAAGTTCTCGGGGGCGAGTTGGAATATTGTTAATGTTTACACTCCTTCACTGGCGACTTATCGCAACTCGGGGAGTGGGGAAGTGATGATGGATATATTGGAAATCGAGCAAACCAACCCAGAGAAGCGGAACAAGGAGGACTCGGGTAGACCCAGGCCCGGGGTGCTTGACCCGAGTCGCCTAAGCCATGGCCAGACCCCTTGTGCCCCGGCCATGTCCGTAGCATTCTGCCTGGGCTTCGACCCAAGCCTTGGCCGAGCCCTAGCCCGTCCCCTCCTTTTTAGGGGGACGATTAGTAGGCTTTTTAGTATAATAAATAGACATGCTTTTGTCCTCTTAAAATATGTTCTCTTGTCTCCACAACTATTGTAATATCATTATTACACCTACTTTGTAACCATCTTACTATCAAAGTATAAATACAAAATTATCTACGTGATATACATCTTGTTTTCCCCATATTTGTACCTTGTTACTCTACCATTTCCTATCTTATCATTTTCCTTTATTTATTGGGTTTTAATAATTTGGACAACCCGAATCAATCACATACCTTCCTTTTTTTTTTTTTTTTTTTTTTTTTTTGGTCCTTTGTAAGATCTGAATCTTGCACATTGCACCTAGTAGCAAAATAAAGCTTGTGAAATTAGTTTACTATTAGGCTATCCTTATCCATCAATACTGTCTAACTTTTAAAAATAGGTCCTACTTCCACATCATCATATTTACAATTTGTGCACTATTTTATCTACATCCCTCTAATTATTTCAACACACTTTCAAAAACCATATTTCACATCATATTTAAAAATTACTATATTTCATTATTATTATTATTATTATTATTATTATTATTATTATTATTATTTAATACTCAAAATCGTCCTCGACTATAGTGGTTTTTCTCAATTTCGTCCTAAACGACTTTGGTGACCTAATATCGTCCCAGACTTTTGTGTTTCGCTCAATTTAGTCCTCCATTTGTTATTCCGTCAAATTGGTGTTAAATAAAGGGACAATTCAGTAATGTCAATATTGATCTCTCTTTACTTTCAACTTGTGAAGTGCGAAATTCCTTTTTCTTGTACGAATTACACCCAGAATTACTCCCGGACCTTGCAAATCAAATTTTATATTCGCAGTTTTAGGAGTAATTCTGGGAGTAATTCATAAAAAAAAAAGGATTTCGCAGATCACATGTCTATGAGTAAAGAAATGCCAATATTAAAATTACTGAATTGTCTATTTATTTAACACCAAATGGACAGAATAACAAATGAGGGACTAAATTGAGCAAAAACACAAAAGTCTAGGACTAAATTGAGCGAAACACAAAAGTCTGGGGCGATATTAGGTCACCAAAGTCGTTTAGGACGAAATTGAGAAAAACCACTATAGTCGAGGACGATTTTGGGTATTAACTCTATTATTATTATTAAAACATAATAAAAGCAAAAAAAAAAAAAAAAAAAAAAGTAACAAAAAAATCTCTCTCATATTTAATGCATTGTATGTTGGCCACAATTTCTAAGACTTGCAATCCTTATCTAGCAAGGATTGCAAGCCACATTATACTTAAAAGAAAATTTTAATTAATAAATAGTGACACAACTTATGACATGTCAGCTTGAAAGAAGCAAAATTTTAAGAATGTGGATAGCCTTACCAATACATAAGTTGATCTACTGCAAAATTCAGTAAATTGCAATTGAAAAAATCACAAGTTTACTTCATCAAAAATCTAGTGCATAAGTTTACTTCATAAAAATGCACAACTGCACACGGCCTCTAAAGCTCCCCTAACAATAAATTGATTTAAAATATTTTTAAAGTAGACTTGTGGATTATTGTGAAATAATTTTGTGTATTCAACGTCGCTCAAACACATGACATCTCTTTTGAGAGAGTTATTTCGTATCACTGGACCATAAGGTCATTGGTGTATTATTTATATTTAATTTAATTGGAATTAAAAATATAAATTGAAATACACATAAGCTATGAGTTTGATATATAATGAATTATTGGCAATGATAGGATAGGCTGACGTGCACGAGGTGTGGTTTCTTTTGAATTTAAGGTTGACATTTCAATCGATCATCAATAGAAGATATATACTTTTTTTCTGGTTCATAAGATATCTATTTAGAGTAACTTATATTTGACCTGATTTATATTTATGGAGTTCTTTTTTTAATAACCAGTGTCTAGACGAGATTTTTGTAACACTGTTCAAGAGTATTATGTGTCTCGCTTAGATAAGAATTATTCAGACATCCTTTTACATACTTCGTCGGGTCGGAGTGTGAGGATCCTTAAGGTTAGAAATTCAGCCTTTTGGAATAAGAATTATTTAAGATAAAATTTTGTGATTATCTAACTAATTGTTTGTCCAACTCAATAAAAGTTGTGATTATTAGAGCTTTTCTTGAGTGCTAATGACGGAATCTCTTTCCGTATGTCCTATTATACATTAAATAGTGTAACGAAAAAGAATATAAAATGGGAATTGTGGGCAAGTCAAAATTAGCGAGGGAAGGACAAAAGTTTCTGAACATCACAAAAACGCGAGGGATTAAGTTGAAACAGTTGCATTTTATAGGTCCTGGAAAATAAGAAATTTCCTTCATATTTTTTTCTTTTTTTGCATTTCTCGAAATTCCATTATTATAACTTATCGTAAATTATCGTGTCATACGTTCGTGCGATATTTTATCGGCAAGTAGGGTCCACCGTGACTCAGCTTTGCGCTGGACATCACTCATCTTTCCACTTGCGAACTTCGGGCCCACTGACGTGGATTGCAGTCAATTAACACAATCATTATTATATGGAGTTGTGGACCATATTTTGTATATTACTCCTTATAAATAATGTACATTTAATATATAAATAATATACTTTTAAAATATTAAAAATATATTTTATTTTTAAAAAAATACATTATTTAAATATTAAATGTATATTCAGTATATAAATAATGTATTTTTTAATACATTAAAAATGTACTTTCTTTTATGGTCCATACAACACTATGTAAATCATGGTCCACGTAATAATTTGTCCAACTCAACCTACGTTCACGCAATCCTACGCCCTGTCACTTTTCGGCCCGTAGATTTTTGTAAAGCCCAATTCGGTCATGTTAATGGACATTTTATTTAAATAATTCGAAACAGTTGATAAATAGATGATTATTATTAATGTAATTTTTTATTTTGAAAACATTATTAATAATTATAAATCAATTAGAATAGACTTTGTGGAAGTGTGCTGTATTAAAAAGTTATGGACTGAATTTTGCGGGTGTAATTTAGATCGAATTCAAGTTAATTATATAGAATGGAAATACTTTTGCTCTTATATAATACGGAGTAACTTATATGACAAAGATTTTGGAGTCAAGCGGTATAACTGTGACTCTCTCAAATGAGAAGTCACAGGTTCAAATTATAGTAAAATATTGATTCTTTGTATTTAAATAGGTTAAGAAAATATATATGAACAAAAATTTTATTATAATAAAGTCAATAATACTCAAAAACTATATATGTAGTATTAAATTTATAATTTTTTATAGAGTAAATACCCAAAATGGTCCTTCGACTATAGCTAAATTCACAAATTGGTCCTCAACTTTCAATTTCACCCAATTAAGTCTTTAAGTTTACAATTTTGACACGATTTGGTCCTCCATCTAATTGACCGTTTGTTGACCGTGATCGACGATCTCCAGAAAAACCTTCAGCTCTCGCCGGAGCACGTGGAGGCCTCGAGGATGACGTTGCACCGGTTCGAAAACACGTCGTCTTCTTCGCTCTTGTACGAATTCAACTACATTGAATTCAAAGGGAGGATGAAGAAGGTGACCGGGTTTGGTAGATTGCTTTCGATAGTGGATTCAAATGTAACAGTGCGGTGTGGAAATGCAACCGGAACCTTAAAAAACCGACGATGGACCATGAAATTACATATATATCCTCAAAAATCATAGTCAACAAACGGTCAAATAAACAAAGGACTAAATTGTGTTAAAATTACAAAGTTAAGGACTTAATTGGGTGAAATTGAAAATTGAGGACCAATTTGTGAATTTAGCTATAGTCGATGGACCATTTTAAATATTTACTCTTTTTTATATGAAAGTTATGTTTATCCATCTCATTATTCATATTTATAAGCAGCTTTGGTTTGATGGTGAAGTAGTTGGTAGATGGGACATGGGATGATTTTTTGGACGAGTGATTTTTGAGTTGCCACGTAGACTTCATGAACGTACACGTGCACCGACACTTTCCCGAGCTTTAGGCAGATTCCGAATATTTCCTCATATTTTACTAATTTAGTGTCGGTGTGTATTTCAATTATTATTTTTTTTTGGAGAATGTGTATTTCAATTTTAGCTAGACCATAATTCATGTTTATCATCTCGGGTTTGAACCAAACCCATGAAAAAGTGGCACCAACATAATTGGGTTATATACTCCCAAATCTTACTTCTTTAAATTTATTTCTTGATATAGGAGTTCTCATATCTTAAATTTTTTATGTGAGTTCTTGCAAGAGTGTCTATATTAATATTTTAAGTGTGTGACTAAAATTAACCAGTTATAATATGTACGAATATAATAAGTTTCAATGTGTCTATATATATATATTTGGAAACATGAAATTAATATATCCACAAGTTATTTGGTTGTAAGGTGAGAATTAAGTGAAAAAAGAAAAATTTGTAATTTTGTGAGAAAAAAGGTTCTTTGAGAATCACATCACCGGTGGTACCTCTGGGTCTTTGTTGATGTACTGGAGAGGGCATCTGAGCTGG